TGTGCAACAGTGTTTATAGAAAATGTATTTAGAATTACAACTTGGGACACCAGGAACACAATTTCTCCTTTCCCTCCCCCATCAAATATAATTGAGAACCTTCCCTCTGCAAAGCTCTCCCAATGGCATCTGCTGGGACTCCTACAACTATAAACTGCAGGTGGTCAGTGACCTAGGGCAAGAATCCTGGCAGGTGAGGTCCTAGGTGTTAAACTTTTGGAGATATCTCTTCAATCTTTCTCTGATTTTTCATCAAGTACAAGCCTAGTGTACCTTCTTTCCACATTTGACATGTGCTCCTTTTGACCAAAGCTTCTCATTCTCTAGCCTTCTATGGAATTGAACACAATCTCATAACTTTTGCCTTATGTTATCTTAAATCAAGTATAGAACCCTTTTCAAATTTTGTAAGAATTTTTACTGTTTTGTTGTTCAATTGTTTCAATTGTGCCCAAGTCTTCCTGAACCCATCTGAAGTTTTCTTGGCAAAAATACCAGAGGGGTTTACCACTTCCTTCTCCAGCTCATTTTATACAGGAGGAACGGAAGCAAAGAGGGTTAAAGTGACCTGCCCAGGGTCACACTGCTAATAAGTGTTTGAGGACAGATTTGAACTTGGGAAGATATCTTCCTGATTTCAGGCCCAGCACTCTATCCACTGCATTACACAGTCCCAGTAGCCTTTTTTTTTTAAACTTCTAGTAATAATCAACAATTTTTTCTTAAAACCATACTATGTGCCAGACTCTCTGCTAGGTGTTGGGTATAAAAAGAGCAAAATAGGGGCAAGGAATGAAAAGGCTCTCTCCTATATAGGAGCATTTTTCCTTTATTTTCACTTAGACCCTATAAGGAAAAATAAAGTTGCACACAGACAACTACTAGTGGGTCTTTCTACATAGAGGTCAGAAACAATATAAACATTTCTGAGGAAAGCCAGGCTCAAGCTATTTGAGGAATTTAATCACAATAAGTCAAGTGCAAAAATCACTTGTGAAGCAGTCTAAAGCAACTAAGAAGCTTGTTGGTACAGTGGAAGTGTGTAATCAGGAAGATCTGATTTCAAATTTGGCCTCAAGACACTTACCAGATGTGTAAGCCTGGGCAAGTCACTCAAACTATTTTGCTTTATTTCCTCAGTTGTAAAATAAGCACCTATGTCCCAGGGTTGTTATAAGAAACAAATGAGATAATATTTGTAAAATGTATGGCATATAGTAGGTGCTCAATAAATACTTGTTTCCTTTTCCCCTTTGAGAGAGAAGCAAGCAAAAGTATGATAATCATTTAGGGGTGCTCTCATAAAAGAGTAATTGACCTGTGGGAACTTGAAATAGCAGTGAAGATCAGTGACAGCAGATTTAACAACCATTTCTCTCTCTCATTACCTTCAACAATACCAGTCATATCATCACAGATACTACCCTGGACTGGCCTGAAGCATGAAGCTCCCACCTCCATGCATTTATACAAGCAATTCACCATGTCTGGAATGTTTTCCTTATCTCTGCCTCTTGGATTCATTGTCTTCCTTCTTGGTTACTTGTAATAATTTCTCATCTGGAAGCTCTGGAACTTAGCTATAATATTCCTGGGAGTTTTCATGTTGGGATCTCTTTCAGGAGGTTATTAGTAGATTATTTCAATTTCTATTTTACCCTCTGCTTCTAAAATATCAGAGCAGTTTTCCTTGATAATTTCTTGAAAGATGATGTCTAGGCTCTTTTTTATGATAGTTCAGGTAGTCCAGTAATTCTTAAATTATCTCTCCTGGATCAATTTTCCAGGTCAGTTGTTTTTCCAATGACATATTTCACATTTTCTTCTATTTTTTTCATTCCTTTGATTTTGTTTGATTGCTTCTTAATGTTTCATGAAGTCATTAGCCTCCACTTGCCCAATTTTAATTTTTAAGGAACTATTTTCTTCAGTCAGCCTTTGTACCTCCTTTTCCATTTGGCCGATTCTACTTTTTAAGGAGTTTTCTTCAGTGAATTTTGTATATCTTTTTCCATTTGGACAATTCTGCTTTTCAAGACATTATTCTCTTCACTGGATTTTTACACCTCTTTTACCATTTGACCTATTCTGTTTTTTAAGGTGTTATTTTCCTCAGTATTTTTCTGTCTCTTTTACAAAGCTGTTGACTCTTTTTTCATTATTTTCTTGCATCACTCTCATTTCTCTTCCTAATTTTTCCACTATCTGTCTTCCTTGATTTTTAAAATCTCTTTTGAGCTTTTCTATGACCTGAGACTAATTCACATTTTTCTTTGAGGCTTTGGATATAGTAGTTTTGACTTTACTGTCTTCTGAGTTTGTTTTGAATTTTCTATAGTCAAGATCTTTTTCTGCTGTTTGCTCATTTTTCCAGCCTATTTCATGACTTTTAACTCTATGCTTAAGGTGGGCTCTGTCCCAAGCTTCAGGGTTTTTGTACAGTTATTTCAGAGATAATTCTGGGGACCTGCAGGTTTTCAGTTCTTCCAAGGTGGTATGATCTAGGGAGAGGTATGTCTACTACTCTCCTGGCCTGTGCTCTGGTCTATGAGTGACCACAAGCACTCTTTCCACCCTGGAACTGTGAGCAAGGTCCTAACTCTAATGCTAGTGTTCCTCCTCACCCTGAGGCTAAGACCCAAGACTGTGACCCAGATCCAAATGTGGGCAATGAAAAAGAGTCCTGCCCCCAGTGCTGGCAAAGGGACCCCTATAATCTCCTTCTGACCATTTGTTTGACCCTCTTACCTTCTGTGGGCTGAGAGATCTGGAAACTGCCACTCCTGACACTGATTCAGTCACTCCCAAGGCCTACTACTAATTTGCTGGGGCACAGTCAGCTCTCCACTCTCACACCAGTGCAACAGACCTTTCCTGCTGATCTTCTAAGTTGTCCTGGGCTAGAAAATTGTTTCACCCCTTCCTTTTGTGGGTTCTGCCACTTCAGAATTTGTTTTGAGGCATTTAAAGTTTTTTTGGAGGAGTTTTAGGGGGGTTATTATGAGAAACAAATGAGATAATATTTGTAAAATGTATGGCACATAGTAGGTACTCAATAAATACTTGTCTCTGACTTTTCTCTGTCATCTTGGCTCCACACCCCCCCCTACTTTGTCTTCCTTCAATGCTCAAATGTCACTTCCTCCATGAAATCTCTGATCCCTCCAGTTATTAGTGCCTCTCCTTACACAAGTTTCCTTGTACTATATTTGTATGTAGCAGAAGGTAAGATTCTTGAAGGCAGGGATTTGTTTCATTTTTTGCCTTTGTCCCAACACTTAGCACAATATCTTGCATGACATAAAAGGTACTTAATGTTTCTTAAACAGAATTGTTCAAATGGATAAGACTATCATATATTAGTCAGCACAAGTGGAAGGAATGAGAATAAAATTCTAATCTGCCACAGAAGGAAGGAAAGAGAATTCCTGAGGCTACCATTAGCCCTAGGTGACAGTTTGAATGTATAGAATATACACAATTTAAATCAGAGATTACCTATTTACTATTTAATTGTACATTAAGCTTAAGTTTTAATAAATTCATTTTAGTATAAAGGCAGGTAAATTTTATCATAAATTGTTTTTGCTCAAATGCTTGACCAGATAACTAATAATAGCATGGTATAGTGGAAAGAATACTGAATTTAGATTAAAAAAAATATTAATTCTAGCTCTGCTATCTCTGTGATCTTGAGCAAGCCGCTTGGCTTTCTTCTGTACCTCAGTTTTCTCATCTTTAAAAGTAGAGGGTCAAACAAAATGATCTCTAAAATTCCCTTTCAGCTTTAAGTACTATGAATATGTTACTTTGAGGAAAGATATGAGTCTCACTACTTAGACTGCATTGTCATGGCTTATTATTGTCATTTAATGTCAGCGTACCTAAATTACAGAGCCAACTTCTTGAGAAGGTGACTAAAACCATTTGGAAATTGAAGATGAAAAACAAAAAGTCAGCAAATGACAAATAATTCATAGTTTAACCATGTGGTATTAAACCAAACCAATCGGGGCAGCCAGGTGGCACAGTGGATAGAGCACCGGCTCTGAAGTCAGGAGTACCTGAGTTCAAATCCAGCCTCAGACCAAACACTTGACACTTACTACCTGTGTGACCCTGGGCAAGTCACTTAACCTCCAATTGCCTAAAAAAAATAAAATAAAATAAAATAAATCAACAGGATATTATGATACTGGATTAAACTGAATAACAACAAACCACAAAATATTTTCCATATCACAATCTCCATGAATGGCACAGCTCCTGAGTCAATTCATTACCCAAAATTCTTACAAATACTGGAATATGTAAAGAATCTGTGATTTAGCCAGCATAACATATTCCCACTGCAGAAACTTTTATAGATATAGATCCCAAACTAGCGAGTGGCCTGACACACAGAGAGGTTACATAACATGGTGCAGGATATAAACCCCGGTCTTCTTGACTCCAGCGTTTTTCCCCACCGTGCAATCCTACATCTGTATTTCCTAACTATGGTGAGAAAAATCAATAAACCCATTAATCCAGAATATATCAACAGTTAATGTTTCCTATTCAAGATTGCATATAAGTTGGTAAGAGTAGTTTCTGCTCATATTCTCTTGTTCCATTCACATAAAGTTGTAGTTCCAAATGGAATCACAAAAGAGATTTCTATTTGACAAAATCAGTCCTCACATTCTACCCACAGAATGTCTCCTGGTTGTTAAGAATAAAATCCAAGGAGATTTCATCATATGCCATTATTACATATGAAGTGAAATCATCATCTTATAGTCATTTTCCCCAAGCTGCAGCATGTCCTACCATTGTTAAACATTAAAGATTACTCTTAGAATGCAAAAGACCATCAAATCCAATGCCATTTTCCATTGCTTTATCTAGAAGGAAATTTATAAAAAGGAGGTAACAACTGAACACTGACATCTGGAAAATCTAAATTTTCTAATTATAATACTTTTGGTATACAGACTTTTATGACAATAAATGCATACTTTTTGATAGGATATACTTTCAGTTGTATGGGCATCTTCCTGATTTCTCATTACTTTCTGTGTATCCATATTGAGAACATGAAGTTGCTGGATCAACTCTGCCTGCTGTACTGCGTGTTCCTGGTTGTGTTGGTAAAGATTCTGCAGCTCCTGCAACTCTTTCCTATGCAAAGAAAGTGAAAGAGAAAAGCATAAATAACAATCACCTCAATTGAATAACTGCATTCATCTAGCATTATAGATTGAATTTCTATTTTTCATTTATATTTTGCTGTAGGCTACCTTATTAATATGAGAAATAATATGCAAAATATTTAATATACCATATATACCTATAAAATATTGATAAAGTCTCTATTATAACTCTTGAAGCCAAATACTTATAAATTTTTCTTTTATATTCTGATATAAAAGTTCTGGATCTCTACCTTCTTAATACAATTAATTTAATCCTTCAGTGTCAAGAATTGAGTTGAACTGATGACATGAATGGTTGAACAATGCCAAGACACAATCACCAAGATAACCTTTCATTGCCTAATATTTTAAGAGTAGAGAAAATACTTTTGGAATTCAAATACTTGATCACTAACTTTATTGAGTCCTCTGTAATTAACTTGCTTTCTTCATTAATCATAATATCTGACACATAGTAAGCATTATATAAATGCTGGTTATTATTATTTATTAAATTATTTACTATTAAAATTCCCTAAGCACAACTCCAAGATCTATAGAGCTATAGTCTCTCTAGCGAGGACTAACCTCATTAACAATTGCCCAACAGATATTTCAGATGAGATGTCTTCTACACCATAAGAATCTCCAATTCAACATGTTTAAAATTAAACTTATTATTTCTCTCCAAAAACTCAGAACATCACCATCCTCCAATTTCAAGACAAGAACAATTTATTAAGTACTTACTATGTAGTCACTGGGCTAAGTACTAGGGATACCAAAAAAGAGAAAAAAATAAACACTATTCTTAAGGAGTTCACATAATAATGGACAAGAAAATATATATATATATATATATATATATATATTATATATATATATATATATATACATATATAGAGATGATGAGAAAAATACAAAATGTCTGAGGGAAAGGGCTAGTAGCCCATGGCAAGGAATGGGGAGGGATGAAGAAATATATCCTTAAGGAAAGTGAGGTTTGAGCTAAGTTGTAAAGGAAACAAGCAAAGTCTTGAGGTAGAGATGAGGAGGGAGAGCAATCCAGGAATGGGAGGTAGCAGAGAATCTGGAGATAGAGTGTCATATATAATAAGGAATAGCATGCAGGACAAGGAAGCTGGATCACAGAATGCACTGATGTTCTGAAGGTAATACACACAAGATCTGACAACAGATTGAATTTGTGAAGTGAGTACCCTGGGTAAGTGGAAGGATCCTGGTGACCTCAACAATAACAGGGTAGTGGGGGGAAAGGAAGGTCTGCAATGAAGATAAATATTTCAATAGCTCAGGAGAGAGATTAAGGTTGGATATACAGATCTGGGAATAATCTCCAAAGATATGATGGATAAAGCCATGGGATATGATGAGATCTCCAAGCAAAACAACATAGAAAGAAAAGAAAAGGAACCTGGTGGCAGAGGTTGGGAGATACACAGAGTTAGTGGGCATAATCTGGATGCAGATCCAGCAAAGAAGACCTTGTCACACAGGCTTACAACTTCAAGGACCATTCTCACTTGCTACATATATTCAGTTAGTTACCAAATCCTGTCATTCTTTCTATATATCTCTACCATACATTCCCTTTTCTAACAGCCATCACTCTAGACCAGGTCCTACCCACCTCTCCCCCAAACTACTATAATAGCCTCCTAAATATTTCCCCACTATAATGCATCCACCACACAGCTAACAGTGATTTTCCTAAAACATATGTCTGACTATGTCCACCCCCTACCACCCCTCCAAATCAAAGAACTCCAGTGGCTCCCTGTTACCTCTAAGATCAAATATGAACTACTCTATCTAGCACTGAAAGCTTTTCACAAGCTGGCCCCACTCTATCATTCCAATCTTACACATGACGTACACCTTTCTATGTACAGTATTTTGCAGCCATATCAACCTACTTGCTCTTCCTCACACATGAGACTCCATCTCACACCTCTGTGGCTTTGCCCTAGCTGTTCTACTCTACCTGTCTCTCTTCCTCCTTGTCTGTCTCTTCTAGAATTACTGGTCTCTCTTAAAGCTCATCTCAAGGCTCATTAAGCTTTTCCTGATCCCCCAGTTGCTAGTTCCATTCCTCCTAAACTACCTTGTATTCCCTTGGTATACATTCTGTGTACCCTCATAAATGTACAGTACATTTCAACTCCCCCATCAGAAAATAAACTTCTTAAAGATAGGGGCTGTTTCACCTTTTACTTTATATCTCTAGCACATAGCAAAGTGTCTATTCCATTTCAGGTGATTAATAAAAGCTTCTTGATTGAAAGACTGATGGTATTTTTCTCTTTATTCTCAGCACTTAGTAGTCAATCACTCAATAATTACTTTTAAGTGCCTGATACTATAAAGAAGAGCAGAAGAAAGTCCTGGCCCTCAAGGTGTTCTCAATCTAACAGGGGAGACAGCATGCAAAGAACTATATACAAACAAGATACAGACAGAATGAATTGGAGATGGTCAAAAAAGGGCAGGCATTAGAATTAAGGGGGTTTGGGAAAGACTACTTGTAGAAGGTGGGATTAGCCAGGATTAAAAGGAAGCCAAGAGGGAGAGATGAAGACAGAACAAATTCTAGACCTAAGGGACAGATAACCAGTGCATGCAGTCAGGAGATGGGTGGTCTTGTGGAAGAATGGGAAAGAGGCTAGCGTCACCATATCACAGAGTACATGGGGCTGAGTACAATATAAGAAGCTGGAAAGATAAGGCAGGGCCAGGTTATAAATCTGACACATAACAAACAATAAATGCTTACTGACTGATTAATTAGTTTTGGCTACTGCAACTACATAATACCACTGAGAAAACATAATTTTCCAAAATATGTTCCTTTGTATCAATAAAAAACTGGATACTACATATAAGCATGGCATAATATAGCTCTCAACTCAGAGTCAACACGCTTAGATATTCTGGCTGCGAGATGACAAGAAAGTAATTTCCCTCTTAGTGCTCTCTAGAATACAGATAGCTCTCTAAGATACATGCTGCACAACAGTTTTGCTGACCTACCTTGAGAAAGGCTCTTTTCTCACTGGCAGTTCCCTATACCAATGAAATCACAGATTCAGCCAAAAGAAAAAAATACTGCCTTTATATTACATTGCAAAATGCAATGACATCTCATAAATGACTGTCAAATCTAAAATATTCATCATTCTGTATCTAATCTAGGAGTGCATCTCTCCTAGCTTTGCTAGGTCTTTAGATGATAGACATAAAGACCCATAGCCAGAACCATTCCTGAAGCTTTTTAACACTTCTGCAAAACCTGCTAGTGCCTGTACCCTGCTTAGATGGCCTTTGAAAATCCAGTCAACTCTACCCAAGAATAAATCATTCGAAGACTTTTACAAAGAGTTCTCAATCACAGATTCTTTCTCTTGAGTGCATTTGTTAGCAAGAATCAGTGCTAGAACAAAAAGAGGAATAAAGAGTAAAGCAAGTGCTAAGTTTTTAAAATGGCAGTAAGGGCCAAGTGATATGTTTATCATAGTATAAATCTATCCAAACAATCATACAACCTTATAGAAGAGAAGAAAACATCAAGTGGATTCAGGCTTTCAGAAATCAATCTTCTGTGACAAATTGGCCTAAACTGTTTCAGATAGGATGAAATACTAGACATGGCTCAACATTACAACTTGCAGCTAATTGCAAGTGCAATTTCTCATCTCACCCAAAGGATATATTTAAATCTATAAGATATTTTATTTATCATAATTATTAAAGAGTGACAAAAGGTTTGGGTTTAATTGAGGTAGTTTCTTTTTTATGAGTCAGATGGGAAAAAAGTGATTTTCTGGGTTTTAAGTAAATAAAGTTTCGACAAAGAAAAAAATTCTGGAAAAGTGATCTTGATCTGTGTGAAGATGTTAGAGAGTGGAAGATTGTGACACATAGAAGAAAAGGCAGGAGGACCACTGAACTCACAGTAACACATATGAATCTTTGCTCAGAGGGGAGAGAAATGGACTCCTTGGGAAGCAGCTCCTTGCCCTACAAGTAATAATGATATAAATCCAAATATGATATAAAGTGAAATATAATCTAGTAAGTGGTAGAAGAACAGAGTAGTAATGGTTGGTAATTCTCCACTGAGGAAGACCCAGGCAGCTATTTGTCAATCTAATAATAATGATATAATAATGAATAATAAGAGTTTTCCATATTGTTTTCTATATATACATATATATATATACATAGATGCACATTATATATTATGTGTGTATATTACATACATATACACACACATATATACATACACCCAGGGAATACTAAATGGATACAGAAATGCACAAAGTATGAGTAACAAGGAAGCTAGAGATACAAAGACTAAAAGGTAAATTTAACCTTAAAATTATGACTAAAGACATAGTGAAATGAGATCCATAAACAGAATCAAGCTCTAGAAAGAATTACCTTATTTAAAAAGAGCAGGATGGGCATAATAGGAAAAAATATTCACAAAACTATACCCAAAAAGTGATACTCTTTGAGCATACTCTTTGAACTAGCAATACATCTGATAAGTCTCTACCCCCAAGGAGATCAGAGAAAGAAGAAAAAGACCCATATGTACAAAATATTTACAGCAGCTTTATTCCTAGTAGCCCAAAACAAAGATCATATCCATCTATTAGGGAAAGACTAAACAAATTGTGCTATATAAATGTAATGGGATATTATTATAAGGTAAAAAAAATGACAAAAGGGACAGTTTCAGAAGAAACTTCTATTGAAAAAGAGTGAAATGAGAACTATAAAATGTACACAATGAAAATATTATAGAAGAAAAATAACTTTGAAAGACTTAAAGCTCTGATCAAGGCAATGATAAACAATGAGTCTAGAAGACTGAAGATGGCGAAGAGATTATAAAATAAAAATATAGAATGACATGTACATGTACAGTCATGGCCAACAGGAAATTTCTTTTACTGGATTCTTCATATTAGTTACGGAGGTTTTATTCTGCTTTTTAAAATTATTCACCAGGGGAAGGGGGGAGGCAGTAGGAGGGAGAAATGATAAATGTTTACGAAATTAAAGAAAAAAATAAAGACAAATTGAAAATACACTACTATGAAAAGTTCCAGGAACACATATACATATATACATACACACATATATACATACACTATATATATATGCATATATACATTATATACATATATATATAAAATAAGGCAATAACTATCAAAATTATTTGGTACTGGCTAAGAAATAAGAAAGGTAGATCAGTAGAACATTGTAGGCATACAATATACAGTAGTAAATGATCACAGTAACCCTGAGTTTGACCAATGTAAAAATTGTTAGGAAAGCTGAAAAGCTGTCTGGAAGAAATTGGGCATAGACCAATATCTTACACCATTTACCAAGATAAGGTCAAAAGGAATACATGATCTAGATATTAATGGAGATATCACAAGAAAATTAGAACATGAAATATATTACCTACCAGACTTATGGATAGGAGAACAATTTGTGAATAAACAAGAGATATAAAGCATTGTGAGATGTAAAATGGATAATTTTGATTACATTAAATGAAAAAGATTTTATACAAATAAAACCAATGTAGCAAAGATCAGAAAAAGAGCAGAAAATTGGGGTAAAAATTTTATAGACAGTCTCTCAGATAAAAGTCTCATATCTCAAATATATAAAGAACTTTGTCAAATTTATAAGAATATGAGTCATTCCCCAATTGATAAATAAGCAAAGGATATGAAGATGCAGGGTTTTTTTGTTTTTTTAATTAATTTATTTTGATTTATCAACAATAATTTCCATATGTTTCTGAGTTTAAAATTTCTCCCCCTCCTTCCCCAAGACGGTGCACAATCTGATATAGGCTATACATATACGTTCCTATTAAACATATTTTCACATTAGTGATGTTGTAAGTAAGAATTAGAACCAACAGGAGGAACCACCAGAAAGAGGAGACAAAACTCAACAGAAGAAAAAAAAATAGCAAATAGTATGCTTCATTCTGCATTCAAACTCCATAGTTCTTTCTTTGGATGTGGACCGCACTTTCCATCACGAGGCCTTTGGAGATGTCTCAGATCCTTGTATTGCTGGGAAGCATTAAGTTTATCAATATTAATCTTCGCACAATGTGGCTGTTATTGTGCACAACGTTCTCCTGGTTCTGCTCACTTCACTCAGCATCAGACCATACAAGTCTTTCCAGGTTTTTCTGAAGTCAGCCTGTTCATCATTTCTTATAGAACAATAGTATTCCATTACATTCATATACCACAACTTGTTCAGCCATTCCCCAATTGATGGGCATCCCCTCAATTTCCAATTCTTTGCCACCACAAAAAGAACTGCTACGAATATTTTTGTACATGTGGGTCCTTTTCCCATTTGTATGATCTCTTTGGAATATAGCCCTATAAGTGCTATTGCTGGGTCAAAGGGTATTCACATTTTATAGCCCTTTGGGCATAGTTCCAAATTGCTCTCCAAAATGGTTGGATCAGTTCACAACTCCACCAACAATGCACTAATGTTCCAATTTTCCCACATCTTCTCCAACATCTATCATTTTCTTGTTTTGTCATCTTTGCCAATCTGATAGGTGTGATGTGGTACCTCAGAATTGTTTTGATTTGCATTTCTCTAATCAATAGTGATTTAGAGCATTTTTTGATATGACTATAAATGGCTTGAATTTCTTCATCTGAGAACAGCCTGTTCATATCCTTTGACCATTTATCAATTGGGGAAGGACTTGTATTCTTATAAATTTGACTTAATTCTCTATATATTTTAGAAATGAGGCCCTTATCAGAGAGACTGGATGTAAAAATTCTTCCCAATTTTCTAGTTTCTTTCTAATCTTGATTGCATTAGCTTTGTTTGTGAAGACGCAGTTTTGAACAGAAGAACAAATCAAAACTATCAGTACATATTAAAAATGATCTAAATCAAGATTGATTAGTGAAAAGCAAATTAAAACAACTTTGAGATATCATTTTACATCAGACTGGCTAAAATGATAGAAGGGGAAAGCAACAAATGGAGGGGATATGGAAAAACTGGGACATTAATTCACAGTTGGTAGAAATGTGAACTGATTCACCATTTTGGAGAGCAATCTGGAATTATTCCCAAAGAGCTAAAGAGCTGTGTATATCCTTCGACCCAGCAATACCACTATTAGGTCTATTTCCCAAGATGATTAGGGAAAAAAGGAAAAGAACTTTTATGTTCTCAAATATTTAAAGCAGCTCTCTTTGTGGGAGCAAGGAACTGGAAATTGAGGGGATGCCCACGTGGGGAATGGCTAAACAAGCTGGTAGCCTTCTCCAGGGTGAGATGGGGAGGTAGGGAGAAAAAAGTTACAGAGCAGAGAACAAAATCTTTTTATGTTGTACTGTGTACATGCAAATATTTTTCTTTAATCTTTATCTTAAATAAACTCAAAATAAACAAAATGTTTTTAAAAGAAACAAGCAATATTACATTCTGGGATTTTAAGATGGAGTCTCTATACTTGGGGTTTTGTTTAATAGTTTTATAACTATTTCAATATAACTGGTTTCTTTTGTATACAGTGTTTGCTATATCAAAACATTTTATTGGAAGACTTCCATAGGCTTCACTAGACCACCAAAGGGACTAAAAAGTTTAATTCCTGCCCCTAAGGGCAAGGGGGAAAAGATTCAGCACTTGTGAATTGGATCACAAATCTAAAACAGAGGCTAATATATGGTACTGATTTAGGGATGTCAAGGAAAGGTGGACCATCAATTATCCAAGTATCTGCAGGAGTTATACCATTACAGAGAAACTATTAAGTACAATAACTATATAAATAATAATTTCATGCTTCAAAAGATAGGAGACTAAATAAGAACTAGACTACGGTGAACGTGATTCTCACCAACAAGAATCAACTGGTACTAGTTTAGGAACAACGGGGCTAATGGTAATCATAAAAGGAAGATGACAATGCCAGGTGACAGCACAGCATATAGGCAGTGCAGATGGTAAGACCTAGAAGATTTTAGAAAATAGTGGCAAGGTGAAAGGTACGGGCTAGTGGTGGAAAAAGAATTGCTGATTGCCATTTCTTCTATGCCATATGAGCAATCAAGCAACCAGTGAGAAGGAAAGGGCATCCCAGATGGATTCTACTTCAGCTCATGGCAGAGGGAGAAAATTAAGAAGGTAGAAGGCAAAGGAGAAGTGAGCAGCAAGTGGATGTTTTTTTCATTTCTTCCTTATCAATATTATTATAATTGTAGAATTCAAATTTCATTTTTTAATGCCTACCATCAACATGGAACCAAATACCTTCAAGAATTTTTAGCAAGGTATGGTAGCACATTCTATAGCACTGATTTCAGATTCACAGTGAAAGCAATCTTCAAAGAAAAATTATATCTTGGAGTGAAGATGGTGCAGAGAAAGTAGGCACTCACCTGAACTCTCCCCAAATATCTTCAAAGATCTCTAAAAAGTGACTCTGAAAAAATTCTTGAGTGGCAGAACCCACAAAGACATAGAGTGAGGCAGATTTCCAGCCCAAGACAACCTGGAAGGTTGACAGGAAAGGTCTATTACACCAGCCTGAGAGAGAAGCATCCAGTGAGCTGAGCGCAGCACAGACCCAGCCTAAGCAAAGCCAGAGCAGGCTTCGGGGCACTGAATCACCAGTAGCAGTGGTGGATCCAGTCTTCTCAGCCCATACACACCAAAGACAACGTAGTACGTCAGCAAGAGGGATCTGTCGGGATTGGGTGAGAGAGAATCACAGTCCAGAGCAGGCCTGCAGGGCATGCCAATTCAGCCCCTGCACCAGCAATCTGGGAACAGGCCTTGGCTGTGACTGAATCGGCAGCAGTAGCCACATTTTAGAAATTTTAGAAAAGTTATATGTGGTAGACATCTAGAGAAAATTGATTGAGGATAGAAAGGAACATACTTTTTTCTCAGTGCTACATGGCACTTACACAAAAATTGACCATGTACTATGGCATAAAAACCTCACAATCTAATGCAGAAAGGCAGAAATATTAAATGTATCCTTTTCAGATCATGATACAATAAAAATTATATGTAATAAAGGACCATGGAAAGATAGACTAAAAATAATTGGAAACTAAATAATCTAATCCTAAAGAATGAATGGGTCAAACAACAAATCATAGAATCAATCAATAACTTCATCTAAGAGAATGACAATAATGAAACAACATACCAAAACTTATGGGATGCAGCAAAAACAGTTCTTAGGGGAAGTTTTATATTTCTAAATACTTATGTGAATAAAATAGAAAAACAGGAGACCAATGAATTGGGCATGCAACTAATAAAACTAGAAAAAACAGATATTAAAAATCCCCAATTAAATACCAAATTAGAAATACTAAAAACCAAAGGAGAGATTAATAAAATTGAAATTAAGAGAACTACTGAATTAATAAATAAAACTAAGAGCTGGTTTTATGAAAAAACAATAAAATAGATAAGCCTTTGGTTAATTTAACTAAAAAAAGAAAGAAGAAAACCAAATTACCAGTATCAAAAATGAAAATGATGAATTCACCACCAATGAAGAGGAAACTGAAACAATAAATAGGAACTATTTTGCCCAACTGTATGCCAATAAATTTGACAATCTTAGTGAAATGGATGCACATTTACAAAAACATAAATTGCCCAGATTAACAGAAGAGGTAGTAAAATACTTAAATAACCCCATCTTACAAAAAGAAATTGAACAAGCCATCAATGAACTGCCCAGGAAAAAATCTCCAGGGCCAGACAGATTTACAAGTGAATTCTATTAAACAGAACAAGAAAACTTTAAAGAACAATTAATTCCAATACTATATAGAGTATTTGGGAAAAGAGGTGAAGAAAGGGTCTTCTCAAATTCTTTTTATAATACAAATATGCTGCTGATACCTAACCTGGGAAGAGTCAAAACAGAGAAAGGGAATTATAAACCAATTTCCCTAATGAATATAGATGCAAAAATTTTAAATAAAATATTAGCAAAAAAATTACAGCAACTTATCATGAGAATAATACACTATGACCAGGTAGGATTTATACCAGGAATGCAGGGCTGGTTCAATACCAGGAAAATTATCAACATAATTGATCATGTGAACACCAAAACTAACAGAAACCACATGATCATCTCAATAGAGGCAGAAAAAGCTTCTGACAAAAGACAACACCCATTTGTATTAAAAACACTTGAGAGCATAGGAATAAGTGGAGTCTTCTTTAAAATAATAAGTAGCATTTACCTAAAACCTTCAGCGGGCATCATATGTAATGGGGACAAGCTAGAAGCATTTCGAACAAGATTGGGGGCGAAACAAGGATGTCCATTATCACCACTGTTGTTCAATATGGTACTGGAAACGCTAGCTTTAGCAATAAGAGAAGAAAAAGAAATTGAAGGTATTAGAATAGGCAAAGAAGAAACAAAGCTATCACTCTTTGCAGATGATATGATGATATACTTAGAGAATCCTAGAGAATCAAACAAAAAAACTATTTGAAACAATAAACAACTTTAGCAAAGCTGCAGTTTATAAAATAAATCCACATAAATCATTGGCATTTCTATATATTACTAACAAAGCCCAACAACAAGGGATAGAAAGAGAAATTCCATTTAAAGTTACTGTAGACATTATAAAATATTTAGGAGTCAACTTGCTGAAAAAAACCCAGGAACTATATGAACACCATTACAAAACACTTTTCAACATAAACAAAGTCAGATCTAAATAACTGGAAAAACATCAGTTGCTCATGGGTAGGCTGAGCTAATATAACAAAAATGACAATTCTACCTAAATTAATTTATTTATTCAGTGCCATATCAATCAAAATACCAAAAAAAATTTTATAGAGTTAGAAAAAATAATAACAAGGTTCATCTTGAAGAACAAAAGGTCCAGAATATCAAGGGAACTAATGAAAAGAAATGCTAGGGAAGGTGGCCTAGCCATACCAGATTTAAAACATATTATAAAGCAGCAATCATCAAAACTGTTTGGTACTGGCTAAGAAATAGAGTGGTAGATTAGTGAAATACACTAGATACACAAGACACAGTAGTCAATGACTACAGTAATCTTCTGTTTGATAAACACAAAGACCTCAGCTTCTTGGATAAGAACTCACTATCTGACAAAAACTGCTGGGAAAACTGGAAAAGAGTATAGCAGAAACTAG